CCCGTGCCTTGGATAGCACGTAAAGCCGTCGGTCCTGCGCCTGATTTCGAGGAGCGAGAAGTAACTTAGATTACTTTTATTTTAGAAAAAGAATTGGGGTTCCACTCAAAAAAAAAATGTACCTAGGGACGCACCCGAGCGAAGCGGGGATAAGTCACCAGTTATTAATAAAAATTAATAAGGGCTCTTAAGCAAAATAATAAAGCAGTTGTACCCCAGTGGTGACGCGCTTGCTTGGAATACCGAGTAAAACGGTTTCAAATCTCCGGTGTCGGACCTCGGATATTTTGTGCGAATGATTTCGGACACGATTACCACTTGTCTTACGGTGACAGAAAACATCGTGGAGAAACCTGCAACCTGAGGGAATCTAAAAGTTTTCGAAAGACATGTGAAGTCCGTACACCCGCACTTGGCCAGCGTGGTGGACTGTGGCCTGATCACCCTCATATTGAAGGGAGGCCTAGGCCCAGTAATGGGACGTTAAATAGGGTTGAATACTTAAGCAAAACTGAGGAGTGACTATGGCTACTGTGCTATATGTGAACTACACGGATCATAATTTGTCGATGTACTCGTAGCAAGAGCCGATCTCGGCACCACACCCACTTCCTAAATAATGACTCCATAGGAAGGAAAATGCTTATAGCTTTTAATAACAATTAGATACACTTACCTAAAGTTCTGTGGATATGCATGGCAAAAAAATATATAACAAAGTAGTAAAAAAATTGTTCCAAATATTTCTATGACATACACATACGTATATAATATGAACACAATATTTGTCGACATGGAACCCTCGATGTGCATGTAAGAAAGACTCATGTAAAATCACTTACCCGATTTTCCTATTTAAAGAACACAGCTTACAAACATTTTCGTTTAAAAATCTTTACTTTCGAGAAAATATTGCTACTACAAGTGAAAAAATGGGATACGATAGAAATTCTAATAAAATCATAAAGATCTGTCCATTCTTATTTGTAAATTTATTAGTAACTTTTTCAACAATAAAACTATTAAGATATTATATTCAATTTTTCAGACAACAATTTCAGACAGACAAAAATTTAGAAACCAAAATTGACAATTCTAGGTCAACCGGAAATACCCTATATATAGGCTTCGGGTCGAAAACCTATATGGTAGTTCCCGTTGACCTAGAATCACGAAATTTGGCAAAAAGCAAGGTCTTACGGCACAAATAAATGAAAAATTCGAAAAAATAAAAAAAAATCAGAATTAAAGTTGGACAAATTTCCTACAAATTTGTTCGGAATCCTCGGTGGGCGAGTCCGACTCGCACTTGTCCGGATTTTACATACATAATATATTATAGGTATCTTTGTACCTCACCCACGGATAATAAAATTCCCCACCTAGTTTTAACGGATATAATAAACATAAGCAGTTAACTTCGCATGTCAGTGATACATTATAATAAATTCGAAATAAAGTTCAAAATGTTCATCGCGGGGATTTTTTGCGACATTCATCATATCGCAAAAGTGTTTATAATTATTAATGTAACACATTCATTAACATGTTTTAGTACAGTGTATGAAGATGTTTTTAAAATCTGTTTTTAATTAACCATATATTTAATAAGCTATAGTCTGTTTTTTTTTAATCTCAGAGACAAAGCTGACATTACGGAGGTTGCCAGTTTTTTTGCAATTTTTAAATAGTAATGCCACTATCGAAATTTAACGTCAATAAAATCAAGTATCGTTTTGTCATAATAAGTTCGTTTTTTTTTATAATAAGTTATCCTGAAATAATGTGTAGATAGTAGGTACTTATTTAAAACGTAATAATATAAAATTTATAATACAAATGTAAATTTAATAATGTGGATTTAATGATTCTTAATGATTTAAAATTAATAACTATGATATTTAATGCTTTAGAATTAATAATATGAATTTTAATGATACACTTTGGAATACAAAACTTTGAAGCGAATCGTCTAATAAAGATAAAAAGTTACGATTCAACAAACCGGTATCGTAGGTACAACACTGCACACAAGAGCTGGCAGCGTTATTTGTAAATTTGAATTTTGCCTGTGTCAAGTTAGTCTTTAAGATGAAAAAACAGACTATAGTTAAATTAATAAATTAAAATAAGTCTTATAGTAAACCAAAAAAATAAACTAAATAATAATAAATCTTTCACTCCTGGAGTTCGCTTCCTCTTGCATCGAAACTACTCAGGCGAAAATAAATTTCATAAAAAACTTAAAAAAAAAATACTAACTGATTTCCAGGCAATAAAAAACAGAGCTTAACGTTTTCGGGAAAATCAGAAGAAAGTCTTTTTGTTTTTTTCTTACAAATTACCTGCTTATTAAGTCTACACTAAAGATGGAAAAATAAAAACTTAAAAAAATATATTAAAATCGACTTTCAGGCCCTAAAAGGTAAAAAATTACTAGACGGGGGTTTCATTTAGTAAGTCGGTGTCAGCCAACAATGCTTTAAGATATCAATATCTAATAGTAATATAAATAAAAATAATGATGTTCTCCCGACCGATTCCGGCCACGGCGGCCAATCTCATTGAGACTAGCCAACTGCGCAGGAGATATTATAGTGCACAAGTGTACGCGCAGACACAAGTGCACTCTCTATTCCTGTCACTCTCATATTCCGGTGGGACGACTGCTCGACACGACCAGTGAGAGTTAAGGCGCAGGACCGACGGCTTTACGTGCTCTCCGAAGCACGGGGGTGAAACACCGCCAACTTCCCAACTCCGGGCTGTTACTGAGGCCTACTTATACAGAAAGACTCAAGTCCTACTTATACAGAAAGACTCAACTCCTCCGGGTGTGCAGCCGTACATGCTAGCCACTACACCACGGAGGCAGTAAAAAATAAATAATACCTATGACAAGGTATGGACTCTAATTGTAGTTAAAATATTATACCATTACCTACATCAATTTGTTATATATTTATAGTACCTAATTACGTATCGCAAAAAGATTTGCTTTGCTTTGCTTTGCATCGGCTGATACGGACTTCGAAAATATCTGATGAGGTAACTATACCTACTAATAAATTAATAATTATATTTCCGATGCCCGCTAACATATTTTTTTTAAAGGAGAATCACTAACAATTTTGGTATGTATATATGCATTGAAATAACATTGTTTTTTATTTTATAAATTCTTACAAGTTTTCAATTTGGGTAAGGTTCGACTGAATAATACTACATTTCCAAAAAACAATCCCTTTATTTCTTTTATAAAACGTCACTATTTTTCATAATATTTAATAGTACCTATTATTGGTATTATATTACAATCGAAATTTAAACATAAGATAATATACGAATACAATTCTTAGCGGATACATTTTTTCTTCTGCTTCTCCTGTCGTAAGTTAAGTAAACTTTGGGTTATTTTCCTAATTATTTCAAAGTAAACAAGACGCTTGATGAAATATTTGTCAAAACATGAAATTAGATTATGGGGTTGAAATTAAAAAACATGTTAGAATTCACAGGTAATTTATTGCATACTAAAACTGTATGACGATTTACATAAATTTGAACAGGTTCCTCTAACCCAGCTACTTAAATTCTTAATATGCCGAAAATAAAATATGTATAAATACATATAAAGTTTGAATCGAGTAAAATATACATAACATTTTATTATATATTTAACCCTTTGTATAATTAGGGAAAATAATTGAGTCGGCTACTATAAATAATAATTATCAATTGAAAACAATGCAACACAAGCAAGTTTATAGTACCCATTTATGGCTATTAGTTTTGTTATTCGCAAGCCATAGGTGATTACTCTCTACTGTTAGAATATACTTTTAAAACCAAATTAAATCGTGTCCTTATAGAATCATAATCTAATTACGACAAAATATAAAATAAGAGCCAATAACGTGAGTATAACAATATAATACATTCACAATTTTGATGGACTAGATCCCACAACAAACACAAAAAAATCCCTTTACAAAGTTTACAATTTTTGGCAATGTTTGACAAAAGTAAACCGCGAAATCTGTGCCGTAAAAGCAAAATACTTTTAGATGTAGTTTATTATAAAACATTATATATAACAATATCAATCAAAGCAGACATATCTCTAGCTACATGGCATTTTGATCCATCACATCAACACATTTGGACTAGCTTCCTTAATTACGTAACTATAAAACTGTTTACCTAGTAATTAAACAAAACTAGTCAAGAAAAGATATTCTCGTAAACTATATCTAACTAATTGCTTTATAACGGTGTGTAACCAAGCTACCGGTCTATAACAGTACAAATTATGCGACCAATATCATTGGGGTATTATTTTATTATAATATTATATTAAATAAGTAGAGCGATGTATGTAAGGTATTTACAATGTTTTCTGGCCGATTTTCGCATGATTATATCGAACTTAAGTTACATATACTTATGTTTACTTACAAATTAATGTTAACACAGGCTGATTAAATACGGTACGACTACCGATTACATGTAACATGTACATTGACAAGTGTGGCGTAACGTACATACATATACATACATACAAACTACAAGCAAATGCACAAATAGATGATCAAAACAATGTACTCTGTGATGGCTTCGAAATTACAAGGTACGATATCGTAAAATATACATTTAGAGTCGTAAATAAATATGCACATAGGTAAAATAAAGTTTAATAATTTATTATTTACATTAAGAAAATATGGCACATCTTACACATGGACCGACATTCCTCCGTGCGGTCGCGACGACCTGAAGTACGAATTTGAATAATACCAATTAAAATACCGGTGGGAAGCGAAAACCGCTCGGGCCGTCCGCCGCACGCTACCTAGGCGCTAGTCGCATTCGAATCGCAAGAGAACAATAAAAATATATCAGTCTATGAAGCGTTCACTCACTTAGCCTATGCAGTCTGGGGCGACGGGGCGCGGGGCGCGGGGCGCGGGGCGCGGGGCGCGGGCGGCGCGGCGCGCTCAGCTGGGCGGCGGCGGCGTGCGCTGGCGGCGGTGGCGCATGCACGCGCAGCACGCGTCGCCGCGCCGTCGGCGCGCGCACGCCGCCCGCCCGCAACGCTTGCGAATGCATGTCACTTCGCCGTCCTGAAATATTTATTTGGTCCATCAGTACAAGTTACATTATGTAGTTCTTGAAACATGTGAAAGTAAGATCTCAGCGCTTGACACTACACTTCTTTGGCTACCCACAAGGGGTCTAGTGCGAATTAATGCATTTCATTTAAAGTAGGTAAAATATTTATTTGTAGGGTTCCGTAGCTAAATTGGTAAAACGGAACCTTATAATTTCGCTATGCCTGTCTATATTTCATAGGCATTTTGTCAAATATTTATAATCACAGAATTCAACATTTTGCCTTATACACTAGGTACTACAGTTAGAAATAAATTTGGTATTGATTCGGTTTTAACTTATTTTCTAAAAATCTTATTTTATATTGTAAATTTAAAATTTTATTATTATTTAGTATATATTAAAAAGACTTATAAGATCCATTAACAGTAATCTACATTAATAAAAAATGAAATTTACCTTGCACCGGCACGTGACACATCTCTGTTCTCCGTGTGAATGTATTGATGGATGAACTTCTTTACCATTTGGAAGAGGCCCGTCTGGGAACTTGCAGCCACCTTCTGCAAGAATCTCTTCAGCTGTTCGTGGAGCGCCTTGATCCTTTAGCGTTTCTTCTTCGGTCTTCTTTGCATATACCTTAAAATATACAGTAAAAAAAAGTTAATACATATATTTGGGTTTTTTAGTTTTTGTATAGTTATGGATTAATATTTTGGATCGACTTTAAAAAAAGACATATTTAAAAAGGCTGTTAATATTTATTGTATTGCAAAACTTTCATAAACTGTAAACAGATTTTCATTTTTTTTTCAACGGACATTGACCTTAAGAGTGGACTTAGAAAATTTTGAGAAAAGTTTTAACTCCTATGTCCTAAGGATGGAATAATTATTTTTAAGTGATTTTATCGTCACTCTATATTATTAGTTAAAAATATATATAAAATCTTATAGTTTTCTATTAGAGAAAGCGTTTAGAAAAGTCATTTTGTGTAAGTTTAAGTCTAAAACAATAAAATTAGCTTTATTTCACCTAGTCAGAGTAAGTCACTCTCATGTACCTAATTTTCTATTATCATAAAAACATCTAAATAAAAATCTTCATACCTCAGGGCAGACTCTGCAACACGATTTCTTATCCGGTCGATAGGCATCTTTCTCTGCACACCTAAGTGGTGGACACTTCACGCGTGGACATCGCACTTGTCGTGTAGACATTTCGCATGTACATATCGCGCATGTGTCGTATCCGCCGGGGACTAAGTAAGGATGCCAGGAGGAGCCGGGAGCATGATACTGTCCGGAGAGATGGCAACCGTGCGATTCATTCCATACTGCTGTGGTTGAATCTAAACGTTATAAAAAATGTTATTATATACTTAATATTCATATATAGATTTCGGCCAAGCCGGCCAATCTTACTGAGACTAGTCGTCTCCGCAGAAGATAGTGCAGCGCATTTACGCGCAGACATAAGTGCACTCTCTACTCCTTTAACTCTCATACCCCGGTGGCGATATTTCGACACGACCGATTAGAAATCAGGCGCGGAACTACCCAGGCAGTAGATTTAAACCTTAGTTATTAGTCTATTACTATATTTTTTTCTAATGGTTTAAAATGTCAATGTTATGTTTATATAGTTTTCTACAGTAAAAACAATAGCCTTATTTCTCTCATACCTAATATTTATAATTAAAATACGAGTTGAATATATATATATATACCTATACAATGTACATAACAAAGTTCTCAAATTTACATAATTTAAAGTGAAAGAGACCACGTAGGTATGCACCAATCAAACATTTATCAATTGGTTGTGACAAATGAAATGGGTCGATCCCTTGTTAAACTTTGAATGCACACCATTAACCTATATACCATTAGCAACGGTCAATTTCGTGCAAAAATTGTATATTGAGAGAAGATTTTGCTTTAACATATTTAGTATTTATAATTTAAGTCAAAAATGTCCTATTACATAGAGTAAATATACTTACTAGTACAAATAGGACAGCATTGTCCAGGCGGCTGTATAGTCGGTACTGCACAATTGACAGGTGGACAACGAACCGGTACGCAACGAAGTGAGCCATGGACACATCCACACATTTGACATGACTGAAAAAAATAATGCATTTTATTAAATATTTTTATATTATTTAAATGAATGTTATATCCTACAATGATTGAGTATAATACAGAGATAACATATTTCTCACTCAACAAATTTGTAACGTCTTTACACCAAAAATAATAAATATAACAAAAATAAAAATGGCACGTCTGAAGCACGCTTAAGAATGCTTAAGAATGAGAAGAAGAGTTATTCGTAAATTGCCGTGAGTGAGACAGAAAGAAAACGTAATAACTTGTTCGTAAACCTACTGCTAGCATGCAAAATAAAATGGTAAAAAAAATCGTCTGTTGTGCAAAAGACATACTAAATTCCGATTCTTCAATATTATAAAATACAACGTATGTCTATCTATTTGTTTACAGTTTGTGTGCTTATTTAACCAGACAAAAAAATACAGCTTGAGTCTTTTTTTATTCTGCGTGCTCCTATGTACAAAGGCGTTGCAACCTTTAATTAAAAAGACGCAGATATTTACTAGTCTATACTAATATTACAAAGAGGTAAAGTTTGTGAGGTTGTAGGGGGTAATCTCTGGATCTATATCTGAAATTTGGTAAGAAGATAATTTGAGATCCTAGAAAGAACTTAGGATACTTTTAATCCCGGAAATCATCCCTTAAGGGCGTGAAAATGTGGATGAAAGTTTGTATGAGGAATCAAGCTAGGGACGAACCCGAGCGAAGCGAGGGTGAGTCGGTAGTATGTAAATAATTTACCTCAGTTATCCACTGCGCGCCGTCTTCATAGGTTTTTTCATTATAGTAGCAAAAGTCTGTGTTGAATAGAGAATTGTCTGGCGGAGGGGCGTTGACGTGGGTAGGTGCGTAATTGGCGCTCAATTCATTATCAGAGTCCGCCACCGATGGAAGACAGGAGGGTGGCACGCTTATCTAAATAAAGAGGATAAATTATTTTAAAAACGCATCAAGTTTATTTATATATAACACCTAGAACTTCTCAAGGTAGAATATGATTAGTTAGGCGCAAATGTGAGAATATGTTTGTCTATTGGATATCTCAAAAGATTTGCATGTTAGAAAATACACATTTGTAAAGTTATCCCACAGAGATTTGATGCTGCATAAATTTAATGTATTTGATATGACACGATTACCAAGTACACTTTTTTTTCTTTAAAACATAACTAATCCGCGTAAATCCAAATCCATTTTGATTTTAATCCGCTTTTTAATAGGAGGTAAAACTCGGCTAAAATAATTCCACGTAATATCTTAGTATAATATTCTTAATCATTAAATTTGTTAAGTGATAAACACATAAATCACAAAACATATTATACATGCAGATTTAACCTTTCCAGGAACCGAACCAGTGACCTTAAGCTAAGTACATCATCATCTTGTACCATGTAATTTTATTAGCAAGATATTAATCATTCTTATTTTACTTACCTCATCACTTTAACCTTCGCAGCATGTGAAACATTGCATACATTAATTTACTTATTACAACTAACTAAATATGGATATTATAAAGGTAGATTTGTTTGATGAAATAAAACTTTTTATTCATCATTTTTTTTATAAATAATACTACTATAAGACTATAAGAAAGAAGAAAAATGATGACTAAAAAGAAGAAGAAATATAATAGGTATGTATATATATTATATCATTTTACATACCTTTGACAACCGCGTGCGCAGGAACTCTGTGTCATTATCCGAAGTGCGTACTTTCAAATATGCAGTGCCTGTATTTAATGCCGCTAGTTCACCCGAAGAAGGCTCTAAGACTGACCCCTCAGCTCCCACTAAAGCTCTAGGGCCCTTTGACGTATGAGTTTCAAGCCAGGCGGACCATGAATTAGAGTATCCATTTATTACCACCTGAAATTATATTTAATTTTAAATATTATGCCTTAATAAATCTTAAATTCCCTTGAGTTAATTTAGTTCTCGCTCTCTCATACAGCCAGTTTTTAACGTTCCATTGCTGGGTACGATCCTCCTTCGCATTGCCGGTCTAGTGCAGGTTGGAGGACTTAACATGTCTTTCGAAAACTAGTTAGGTAGTCTCCGACGTGAGGTTTCCTCGCCATGGCAAGATGGCAGGCAACCATTGACAATTTAGTTCATATTTAGGTAACAGCCTGTTATTATACAAGAGCAATTTTACGAAACCGTAATAACCATTATTCTGCCCTACGCCTCCCACATATCGTACCCTTTTTTATTTAAGGTGTAATTATCAAGAATAATGTGTTATCATTGATTTATTGATTCTATCCATAATTATGTTCTGCATGAATATATGTATGTACAATCAAAAATTACCTAATACTTTCTAAGATTTACGCGAATATTTAATATTTTAAATGAAATTATCTTTTCATCGTCCTATAATAATACAAAATATAATTTTATTTGGAATATAAAATTACCTCATAGTTAATTCCACATAAAGCATCAACTGAGAGCCACGCGAGGCCTGCGACGGGATTGATAGAAGGTGGCATGCGCTCATCAGTGCGCCGGAGCAACGATGGTCCTGCACTTGCAGTGTCTGGTAACGGTCTAGATAAAAGGCGACCTCTCAGCATTGGAGGACCTATGAATAAAAATACCGTATAAACTTCTTACCGAGTTAAAAAAGACAATGTTTTATGTGTATATTATTATATATTTTCGCTCGCATATTTATGGCTCGCATATTTTCTTTTAAATATAACTTTCGCAATATTTTGGTCTCAGATATTTTATGAACAAATAATTAGGAAATGTGTTCGGTATAGGTGCAGCATAATTTATATGGGTTTTGCAGTTTAGTATACCAAATGATGATGTTTATTTACTGCCAATCAACATCTCGACACTGGCAGAAATAAAAAAAAACTATCTATTCGTTTCTCATCAACTCAAGTTGCATAGTAAACTTAAGAGTTAATTTTTGAAGTGTAACTACAATATTTTAGAACATGTTTTAAATGTTCTATTTACAAATTCATATACAGTATACATATCTATATAAAGTTTATATACAATTTATCGGACTACCTCATATAAAATGTCAGTTTTTAACCGACGAAAAAAAAGAAGAGGCTCTCAATTCGCCACAAAAGCATATATTTTTATGACGATTGGTCAAAATTGGTCCCATTTAAATTTGAAAAAATACCCTAAGTGTAGGAAATAGGTGAAGATTGATTTTTCACCTACTGATTTTTTAAAATACTTTCTTCTTACTTTGCTAGTACTATGTCTAAGTAAAAATGAAAAAATAAAAACTTTTTTCTTTTCAATAAAAAAAAACACTTCAAAAAAACACTTAAAGAAGTAAAAAATAACTAATTAGTACTACTAAGGGACCTAATCAGATATTTTTGAAGTCGATGCCAACTGAAACAAACCAAAGCGTACCGACTTCAAAAATATCTAATTAGGTATCTATAGTAAATGAAAACTACCAATCATTTATTTTTTACTTTTTAGTTTTTTTTTCTTGAAGTCGGTTTTTATTTAATTTTTTTAAGTTTTTATACTATACAATCATAATTTTTGTATAAATCAGATAATCTATACTTCTATACTTATATTGTAAAGCTGTAAATTTTGTAAGATTGTGAGTTGTGACGTTGTAGGGGGGTCATCTCTGGATCTACAGAACCGATGTAAATGAAATTTAGTAAGAAGATAGTTTGAGATCATGGGAAGGATATAGGATACTTTTTATAGCGGAAATCATCCCTTAAGGGAGTGAAAATGGGAATGACTGTTTATATGGGGAATCAAGCTAGGGACGAACCCGAGCGAAACGAAGGTGAGTCGCTTAGAGTATTAAATACATTTCATTAAAATGTGTTTTCTTTAAATTTTTTATAACAAGGACAATAAAATACTCTAAAACATATTCATTAAATTATAATTTATTTCTAAAAAAACGTAAAAAAGTCATTAAATTTGTAATTAGAACTAACCTGTATCAGAACCAATATGAACAGCAAGCTGGTCTTCATAAAGCGGGGGGAAAATACGGGCACTTGGCCTCGCTAGTACCCCAATTCTAGTGTCCAGTATTTCCACCTGTGAATGACGCTTGCCTTGTTCCTCTACCAAAGTTATTTTAGGGTCTGTTATGCTCAAATCTTCTATCTAAAAATATATAAATAAGTTTACCATTAAAAACAAACATCGTTAAATGATCACATTGTCGTTAGTAATTTTATATTATAAATCACTCGAGGGTAATGAACTGGAACATTTTTTGTCCCCGTCATTGAGTTACAATGCGAGTTCTGTATGAAAACTTATCTTGTCTTATTTAATTACAAACATAACATGAATTTGTTATGAATAATATTACAATGTAATAAGTTTTTTGCTGCATCCGTAATAATGGTACATACAAACAGTTCTATATACTCGTAGATATAAATTAATACATTAGTCCTACGTTGTGATTTTCTATAATAATTTAAATAAATAGCATTAAATTAGCAATAAACAGTTATGATCATGACGTACCTGAATATCATACACCAGTGAGCCTTCCTTGTCAATATATAATAATGCCAACCCCTCGGGTGTCACAGCAGCTGGAGGTCTTTCAGCTATTAAGGGCGCATGAAATACTTCACACGCGGCCCTTTGCCTTACACTTCCCGAAATACGTCTTTCAACAGTTCCTAACGCTTCCACTGATAACATCAATCGTCCTCTCGATAAAGACCGCAATTCAGCAGCTGATACAGGTGTAGAGACTTCTAGAACATTAAGTTCATAGCCTGGTTTGCTAACACTATGAACCTGAAAATCAAGATTATAAAATGTTTAGTATTTTAAAAGTTGATATTCTACGATAATAAATAAAAAGCTTTTTTTACGTTACTTACTTCATCAATTATCGTTTGATTTCTTTCTGGAAGTGTCAAAACAACGCGAACAGATTGATCCCAAGATGATGGCTTAAATACTCCATTGTATATTATAGCTAGATGTAAGCTGGGAGCAGGGCCTGCAGCACCAGTAACTATGGCTGTACCGCCCCACCAGCCTTCTTCCCGGCCTGGAGTCCGATAATCTTCACACGGTGCGTTACCTATTGTAGAGGGAGGATGTTCTGGCTCGAGAAGAGATGTGAACATCTCCGTAGATAAGGCTGGGTATCTACAAATTAAAATGTAAATTTAAGTAAACACAGTATTGTAAACACAATAAATTTAAAAATGTACATATAAATTAAGATAATTGTTTTAAATTGACACATTATCATGATAGTCTTCAACAAAGCTTGTGATTCTTCTGTATCAAATTAAAATTTCCATATGAAACGCCCTATGGTTACATATTTGCTATACTATGTTTACCTCCTTTTACAACTAACGAAGATGAGTGAGTTTCCGTTATTAATCATACGGCTAATTTAATATGAACAATAAGACTACTCGTAACATCCTTGGAACAATTTTTCAAAGGTAAGCTTTTTTATCATATCATAGTAATGCATCTATCATTCTATCTATTTACTTCTGTAGATTTCTATGAGCTAATTTGAAAATGCTAATAAAGTTAGCAAATTATATTTAAACGTGTTCTCATAAGATTTTTTTTTATTTCATTTTTATTTAATTTGCCGTAATGCTAGTTTCTTAATAATAATATTTTAAGGCGATAAAAGATTAAGATCTAAGTATTTAAACAGGTATAACGCGCATATTTTTTTTAATAAAGCTTAGTATATAAGAGTATAAAAATTATTCGAAAAATATGTAGGATACCTAATACGCAAAGAGGTCATACAAAAGTAATGCATACGATTGTAATGCATCGGAAACGTTTGTGCGTATAAAGTTACATTGCGCTTTATGAAAGCGCTCATATAAAATATATTTTACGATTATTTACTTGGTGTGTTACAGGTGCGCCTGACACGCATAGATATTAACGGATCTTAAAGTCTTTACATATTCGCACTCTATGTGTCTTGCATACATTCCACATGATAACTGTATCAATAAAATCTTTACTTAGTTTACATAAAAATAAGAAAAGTAAAATAAATGTTAAACTCAATACCTATTGATTCGGCCACTTAGAGCGCTTTCCATAGAATTATTACGCTCATCACCCCAAATCAACGCTACATACAGAGAGCCTTCTCTCAATAAACGCTTATATTCTCTCGGTACTCGACGCCAGACACCACATAACTGTAAACAAGGCAATTCATTGAGAAATCAAACGAAGGAGTGATGAGTACTGTAATTAATAAACCAGCAACAGGCAATTTTCGTTTTAGTCATACCTTATCAGTTTTTTCCTCGTAAGTAGCGTGTATTCCAGGAGCACTTTTTAATGGGTGTTCGAGAAGCATACGTCCACCTCTATCTAGAAAAGCTAGAGAGCGAGGCTGGATAACCATGGAGGATCCAAGCAGAACTGACCAAAATAGGTGACGACGTCGAAAAGTAAATCTGGCCGTTGCAACGCCAGGAGCTACTGGGACTCCTGTCATATCATCACGTCTTATGCATAAGGGTGACCGAGCAGTTAATAATGCTCCAAAATCTAAAAAAAATATATTGTTACACTTATATATAATGCATTCCATCAAATTATTTAAAACAATTAGGAACTGATTAGAAAGGATTTTATTTTAAACATATCAAAAATTTACTCTGTATGTATACAGCCCCTTTTTTTAACTTTCCACTGCTGGGCACGGGGCACCCTTCAATACGAGGAATATCAAGCCATAGTCCACCACGCTGGCCAAGTGCGTGATGGCGGACTTCACATGTCTTTCGAAAACTTGCTAGGTTCTCTTAGACATGCAGGTTTCCTCACGATGTTTTCCTTCACCGTAAGGCAAGTGGTAATCATGTTAGAAATGATTCGCACATGAAAATATCAAAGGTGCGAGACCCGGCATTTGAACCTGCTTCACTCGGTTTCCCCAGCGAGCGCGTTACCACTTGGCTACCACTGCCTTTTAAAAAAAATGACTAACATAGCAAATAGTAAAAAAAGACATAGATATGAAATATTATCATAAATTTTAGCCTTACGTCGTTCTTCATCTTCATTAGTTGTTATAACAACCGTCGGGCTATCATCTTGAACGATATCTGGCGCTGAAACAATAAATATTATGTAAGCACTTTTTTTCGTTACACCAAAAAAATAGAAAATACGTAATAATTATTATTTATCCCGTAATAAATGTAGATAGTGATAATTTTATTTTGAACTGAATGTAAAATTTTTAATTTTTTAAAGCCTTATACATAAAGTTAACACATTTAAACAAAAATACAATAATTAGCACCAGGAAAAAATATATAGGATAAATATATTGAAATATATAGGTGTTGAAGATTGAAGTAACTCTGATAAAGTTAAGTATCAAAGTTCATCGATTACTTTCAATAATTTCGTTACACGAAGGCAAATACAATTAACCTTTTTAGAATGTCTGAGCTTTCCAATATTTCTTTACATGGCTTATTAAATCAAGGATAAGAAACAAAAATAATTCTCTAAAAAAATAAAAGCTTACTAAGTAAATTACTATCTATCTTATACAGATTTCGTATGTACGCGTTTACATGTATCGATACTTTCTCCGTGCGATTCAGTGGTTCATAAAAGCATGTCGTGCGATCAATTGGCAAAGTGACGTCTAGCGTACCCGCGGCCGGTTCGCAAGACCTCCCCGACCCTTCCATTCGCATTGATTGGATCAAATGTTATTCAATCGTTACAGGATTGGCGTCCAGACGGCGACTGTTGTATTTGCTTCTTGTAAAGCTTTCCTGTTCTCTTCTCTAATGGATCTCGAAAGAAACATTTCGTGATATCAAATTATAGTTCAAACAACGAGTTTGATTAATGGGCCCTCCACTGCGAAAGCATTATTCATTCAATTCATTTGCATAAATTTTCATACAAGTCATGTCATGTCATACTTTTATACTTTACACAGTAGCGTTCTTAATTTAAAAAAAAACGAAAATGATATACTCTAAGATCAAGGAAACACAAATCACCACCTCATGAGACCACCGTTGAATCTATCTTCATTATATATTCAATAAATAGTCATCTCCAAAAATCGGTGAACATGCATAACAATATTCATAACACATCGAACATAATACGTACTCTTTGAACTTTGATGTCAATTCAAAAGACAAAAGTTAATAAAAGCTTTTAAAATTACACCACCAGGAACTTAAATAGATTGCAACTAAAACTATGAAATATATGCTTAATAAATTATGTTATCATGTCTCTCTGTGTACTATGAGTTAAACAAGCCAAATCGAAGTAACCTCAGTAAGCATTATGATGTGCTAGACTTGTTTATACTCTGATATTCCTATAGTCAGATTATGATCAAGTACAACTCGGCGCCAGGATTCATAATTCAATCTAGGAATTCATTAAATGCTCGAGACAGTCCTAAATTTATTGGCGGGTGGCGCCAACGTAGTGACGTGTAAGTCTTTGTACATGCAAATGTAAGAAATAAATGAATTCAATATGCGCAGGAATCAAATCGTTAATATTATACAAATCGATCTAATGCAACGAACGAGAGAACTGCATTATTATAAATACATATGATATTTCATTTTTATACGTTATGAAGATTTTTTTTTCATTTTTGATTTGAAAGACACATAAATTCTAATGTTTGGGCGTTTTGTGCATTTTTCTATTCGAGGCATATTATACATTGCAACGACTTTTTGAGATGCAAACAATGCCGCACACCTTTGACTCGACCAAACCCTAAGTGGCGCCGAGAACGGTGTGCGACCGTGTGTGTGATGAATATTTATAGGCATTCTCAGACATATTTAATAGAGAAAATCTGCTTAACTCAAAGTACCCCACCGAGAACTCATTAACGTTGTTTTAACGTAAATTTAAACTTTTGAAAGTATCCTTGAGTTCAAAGACGTGACATGACTTGAGCCGAGACGAGTTCATTCCGAGTCCAGTCGCGGTCTTATATCTTTAGGCCTCTTCGACGCGGCGAGTTTTCCAATCGCGTGATGTAACCAGGCGCCGCTCTGACGATAACGTTCACGACTGATACCATGAATAGACTGCGTACACGACACTTACGACTATCAATAATTCATACTAGAGCGACGTAGCAAAAACTATAACATTCCATAACTATTTCCAAGAAACGCCTCTCTATTTCAGCTCAATCTCTAATCAATCAACACTCATCTCGTCTGGCAAGTTCCCATACGGCGGGTTTTGCAATATATTCCCCGATCACTTGCAATCCCATTTTGATTCCATCTGCATTGCTTTTCACATATTCAGAGAATATTGTGGCAATTGTCATGAGTAAATCATAGAAACTAAACACGAACTGTCGAAAAAAGAAATGTACAATGGCACTTGTGCAGACTTCTTAAATAGATATATTGGTGGACAGATAGATCGAGTGAATGTCATAAAAATGTTACGTACATTTATTATCTATTTATTGCATATTACGTTAAAATCTTATATCAGTCTAAATCTAACCTACTAATTCAAATTCGTGAATCTCTTGAGAGAATTCTCTTTACACCTCGCATATAATGCAAAGTTATTTAATTATTTATTTCTAATATAGTTATGTTTTTTTTAATAAATTTAAATATATATGTAATATATAATTATATGTTAATGCCAAAAATGATCGATCTCAAATCAGATAAATTAGCTATATATTTTCAGATATTTAGAAAAGTACCAATTTCCTTGAATTATTTAAATAATTAAAAAAACGTTTTATCGTGGAAAAAGATTTATTATTTAAATGCAAGGCCAAGCTTACAATTACCCAAAATGAATCCATTATACAGCACAGCGCCTTGACCTCCGCTGTGTGGCCGTGTGTGATATTTTAGCAACGATACTATTCTAAACAAATGACGATGCACCGTATGACGTACATAAGTGGTAGCTGAAAACTTGTCCGAGCTCTTGTCACGTTTAATCGAAAGAATTTTATATATTTTATTTTTTTCCCCAGTTTGCCCTTGTGAGGTAGACAGTAATCTATAAATAATATGAAAAAGCTCACTCCTTTAAAATATAATAAGGGATATGGATAAAAATTCTTAACACCATGATTTATTTCAACCGGGAAAAATAAAAGATGAAAGAGAAATAATAAAATATGTACGATCAATGAAAGATATTACTTCTTATAAAAACAAAACTGTGATCTCTGACGTAGAAGACAATCTTTACACATTAATTATAATAATTTCTTCGTTTCGTTTATTTATTTAAGTACACATAAATTACACGTTAATAGGTGTCTAGGATTGCAACTTTACAAGTTTTTTAAAATAACTATTCAATAAAAAATTTGATTAGGGTTAGGTATATATAAAACACGATAGTCAACACAGTAGGTAGGTATGTAAGAGCCGTGTACGTAACATATAATTTAATAGTTCTTAATACAAATACGAAATACTTAAAATTTATTATCTGCAACATTAACGACATGCAAATAAGTCTTATAATAAAATATTTTATCCTCTACGTAAAACATTCAATTAAGCTTCATCGATACGTTAACTACTCGACCCAATTACTGTTAACCTACATACGGTTCAAACAAACTCAAGATAACATTGATATTGTTGTATTATTCTATTTACAGTTTTCTTATCTTCAGTATACGAAATCTTGGTTATTAATACACGTCAATGAATAAATCGCAACCGAATGGTGGCAATTCGCACTATCTAAGAGTCGTTTAGTCCTTTTACCTGTATATACAGCGCGGCGTGCATATTATATAGATTGGTACATTTAAGGTATACCCATATAATTCGTTCAAAGTAAACTTATAAGTCACTCGCTACAGATTCCCATAATTTTATTCCTACCTGTAGTAATAGTTACATATATCCGAGTTGAGCGCAAAGTCTAATTGGCAAAGCTTGATGTTAGACTAAGTGACAGATAATCATCAATTGTGATCGCGCGGGTTACAACTATTCTATTGACTTCGTCGTCGGAACATCAGGTCTGAGCCTTTATTATAAATTCCCTCAACCGAATGGCACACTCACAATCGGTTCTGTACTAATTTATAGGTTATATCCGTAATGATTGTAGCAAAGAATGTTTATGGCACAAGGCGCGGTCTTATTGTTGTCGAGACATACCGCAGTGTTCGTGCCCGCACACACGCCCGCATAACTGTCGCGCTATGAGAATGCAATAAGCTTTGGCTCCGATTCAATGTCCATTTCCATAAAATATAATTTCATCTCGACACTCTCTTGATGTTCCAAAAGTTAATGTTTCCGTACGATCTATATTCACACTTACTGCGAATTGCATGACTTCATGTAATGTTAAGAGAAAAATAGACCGCTTTTGAATAACCAATAAAAAATTGGCATCCACCAACGCTATTATAACACGGTAGTCAATTTTATTCAGTGCCAAAAGTAAGGTAGAGCTAACTAAAATGGGTAAGTAATGCTTGGAAATATCGAATAACTGAGAATCGGTGCGTTAACACTGCGTTTCCCTTGTACGGTCGCACTGAACGAGGCATTGTACCGCCTGCGGTATTTCTGCGGCGGCCTATGCACACCCGTTTACGGACGACCACTTAACCAAAAAAGTAGAACGACAAACCACGTCCAAGTTGTTTACAAGACGTGCAACACTTCAGCTGCATTGTCCTGCGGAGAAACGCTAGCGATTTGCATTTAACGCCTACAAGGACGGTACAACCCCGCACCGTTGTCTCGCCGCTTGAAGCTCATGAATTTCTCTTAAAGTTCTTATTGAACTACCTACCTACAAATTACAAATATATAACGCAAAGTCCCATCTCCTATTATACATATCATACATATACGAAGTACGTGCTTCCAAATATTAAACAGAAAAGTTGAACATCATCCATTAAACGAATTATATTTCATTCAAATATTATGAGTACATTAACCTTTGTCTTATTGGCAATAAACTTACAAAGAATTGATGTTTGTTTTATCTTAAACCAAACATATACAATGATGAATTCTTCTTTATCAATGAAGTTTTCTTTACTGTACACGTGTACTATTTTTACTTCCTCGAATTA